AGAACTGAGCTCATCCAAACCTGAGAGCCAAGAGCTTCTTCCCAGTCTTCCACATAGGTGCAGGGGCCCAAACACTTGGGCAATCCTCCACTGTTTTCCCAGGCCATAAGCAGAGAGCTGAATATGAAATGTGGCAGCTGGGGGCCCAGCATGGTAGCTGAGTGGTTAAAGTCCCTGGCTTGCATATACTGGAATCCCATTTGGGTCCCGGTTCCTGTCCTAGCTACTCCATTTCCCTTCTAGCTCCCTGCTTGTGGCCTGGGAAAGCAGTTGAGGACAGCCCAAAGCCTTGGGACACTGTACTCATGCAGGAGACCTGGAAGAAGCACCTGGCTTCCATTCGGCTCATCTCCAGCCATTGCAGCCATTTGGAGGAATGAATCAGCAGGTGGAACATCTTTCTCTCTGTGTTTCCTTCTCTCTGTAAATCTGACTTTCCAATAAAATAAAAGTCTTTAAAAAAAGTTATAAGAAAGAAATGGGGCAGCTGGGGCATAACCCAGTACCCACTGAGATACTGGTGGTAGTAGGCGAAGAATTAGCCTGATATGCCACCATGGCAGGCCCAGTAGCACAGTGGTTAAGATCCTTCAGTTGCCGACATGCTCTGTTGTGTTGTTTGAGTTATGTCCAAGTCTACTCCTCATTGCAGCTTCCTGCTGATGTTTCCCCTGGAAGATGGTATTAATGAGCTACATTGTTTGGTTTCTGCCACTCAGAAAACAGTACACAGACACTAACAGTAAGGACTTTGTCCCTTACTTATACTCATCTCCCCAGCTGAATGATGAGGGTATAAAAAACAAAATTCTGCTTTCTATCCCATTATCTGTACTTGCCTGCCATAAAGACTGTCTTTGGTAAGGTGTACAGACACTGGTGAGGAAACCCCCCCATAATTAGGTATGTGCTTCAAGTTGTTTCCCCAAGGCTAGGAATGGCTTTGGGCTCTCTCTGGACACTTTTGTACCTAAGCCATCATGGGACAGTTGATTCGGTGTTTCAGACAGTGCAGTAGCCTATCTGGGGCAGCAGCAGAGACAGGAAATTCAAATCCACTGAACTGCTGCCTTCGAAGACGTGCAAGGTGAGCCCATACCTTCTCTGTAGTTTGGGTGGTATCTTCACATTTGGGAATCGTACACCCCAAATGACTGTCGCAGAATGCAAAGTAAGGAAACCAGTTTCCATCTCATTGACTGAAGGAGACGGTGTGTCTGCAAGAAGTCCACTGCATCACATTCTAGAACCTTCCCACCCCCGGGGGTTGCAGGGAGGACAAGAAATAATGATGAACTGGAAAATAGGCAAGTGTTTGCTAGATGTTGAGGTTTGATAAGAGGAGTGTTGTTTTTGGTTTTCTGGTCTCTTCCATCCGTTGATGCCTGGGGTCATTGAAAGAAGCTACACTGCTCTCATTCCACGTGGTAGTAGTGGTAAGAACTGATTGGCAAGCAAGCTTCCACTGCGAAGCTCCTTCAAGGGCTCGGAATGTGTTCACAGCCAGCAGAGGGGATGCCAAGAACTGGAAGTGCCATGACAAAGCACAGATTCTGACAACTGACACTGCCCTGGCCCCAGAAGCTTAGATTTATTGGCTCCAACCAAAGAGAAATACAGTACTAAATAGGTTGAAACTGTAGGGAAGAAAAAGAAATAAACCAGCTTTGAGAAAAGGTGAGAAGAATGAAGAAAATGAATATACATGTTTGAAAAATCTCCTTACATGAAGTAAAAACATACTCAGAACTTAATGTGTATTCCTAGAAATAGGAAAAATGTGAGTAAATAAGGATTTTCTCAAAGTCACCTTTCTCTGAGAGACTTATTAGTAAAATATTACTTCTTTTAAGAATGAATAATGTTATTGTAGATTTCTGTAATATCCTGTAGGTTTTAGGAGTTGGGCTGTGAACACAAACATACTCACTGTTTGGTTCTATTTCAGTTCTTTTGCAGCTCACAAGTGCTATTCCATTCTGAAAATGTTTTTCACAGTATTAACTGGGAGCAGGCATTATGATTCCATATACGTATCCTATGTGAGAGTACAAAGCTGAGTCCCAGCTGCTCTGCTTCCCATGCAGCACCCTGCACACGCTCCTGTGAGCGGGGGATGTTGGTCCATGTACTCAAGTTCCTGGCCCCCATGTGACAAGATCGCATATGCAGTTCCTAGCTCCTAGCTATGGCCTGGCCCTGTCGCACCCACTATGGCCATTTTGAAAGTGAACTAGCACTCTCTCTGTCTCTCCCTTTTTCTCTCTTTCTGCCGCTCTCTCTCTCTCTCTTTGCCTTTCAAATAAATAAATCTTTGGAACATTAATTTTTCTATACTGCAGAAGTAAAGCAAATGTCCTCTCATTGTTCTTTGAGTGACAGATAATGATTGTAAGCAGTAAAAAAACAAATACCTCTAGAAAATATCTCATGACAGACATCCGGCCAGATAACTATGTACTTTGCTACACTGTTGAATCTGGTCTAACTTTTTTTTTAAAGATTTATTTATTTTTTATTACAAAGTCAGATGTACAGAGAAGAGGAGAGACAGAGAGGAAGATCTTCCATCCGATGATTCACTCCCCAAGTGAGCACAACACCCAGTGCTGCGCCAATCCAAAGCCGGGAACCAGGAACCTCCTCCAGGTCTCCCACATGGGTGCAGGGTCCCAAGGCTTTGGGCTGTCCTCAACTGCTTTCCCAGGCCACAAGCAGGGAGCTGGATGGGAAGTGGATCTGCTGGGATCAGAACCGGTGCCCGTATGGGATGCTGGCATGTTCAAGGTGAGGACTTCAGCTGCTAAGCCATGCTGCCAGGCCCCTGATCTAACTTTTAAATCTATGGCAACATGGCCATGAAAACAACACTCAGGAAGTATGAATAAAATAGACTCAGTGACCACCCACTGTAGGATATTGTTGGGTATAAAAGATTATCTAAAATATATACATGCAAAAATATCTGTTCCATGGCACCAGTGCAGTTGTTGGATGGCAAACACTTTTATTGAGTTAACCTGATAAATATTTGAATTCCATACTACCTTTAGCTAGCATAGCTATCCCTTCAGTTTAGGAGTAAGATACTGCTGTTTATGTTTTCTTTTGTAGACTGTCCCCTAGAACTTTTTACATCAAAGACCTTTGTAAATCCTTGGCATGGTAGTCAACTTGGAGGAGATTATAAATGGAAAATTGATAGTCTAGCACCACAAACTTCTGCAGTGGCTGTGCCAGCATTTCTGCTTTTGCCAATGCATTTGTGTGTTTAAAAAAGACACCCTGTTTTTCCAGGAGACCAAAGTGATTATGCAAAGGGACTTAATCAGCCAATCCAGTGCACCAACTGAGGCTTTTTAGAACTCAAGAAGGTCATTCTTTTGTTATGTTGATGGAGTGCTGTGACATGCACAGAAAAATAAAACTAAGCCTGGAAGCTTAAACCCATTTCCTTTGGCCTGTGTGTCTCCAAGGGCAGATCTTGTGGATTTCAAAGTCATCTTGACAATTTCCATCCGTGTGTCATCTTTTAACTGACCAGGAAAAATGATGGAGGCTTTTAGCATATAAATCCAAGAAAATCTTAATGTGGAAAACCAAGGATTTCAATGTGTGTGCTGCTGAGGCTGTGTTTATTTCAACATTTTGTTTGTTTGTTGTTCTCGTCTTGTTAAAATACTGTATTGAGAAATTAGTGGCTGCCACTCACTTCTTCAGGGAAATCAGAGTAGTTTGGTTTCCACGCTCCGTGTTTTTCTGCCCTCATACCTCTCTTGGGTGCTTTGACACAACTCCCAGCACTTCAGTAGGGTATCTCAGACCCGTTCACCAACAATGTAGATCTTACCTACTTTGTCTTTTGTTGCCTGTGCTTTTTGTGTCATATCTGTAAAACTGTGGTCTAATTACTATCCCATGAATATATTCCTGTGTTTTCTCGTAAGAGTTCTCTAGTTTCGTCTTGAACATTTAGGAACACTGTCCATTTTGAGTTAGTTTTTTTTACGTGATACGAACAGGGATCTGACATCATTCTTTTGCATGTGACTGTCCAGTTTTCACAGAATATGCAATGAAAATGCAATTTTTTCTGTATTGAATTAGCTTGGCAACCCCGTTGAAATCATGGACCCTAAGTTGAGAATTTATTTCTTGGATGCTTAATTCTAATCCACTAACCTATATATCTAACCTCGAATCTGTGGATCATTTGGGAAGCAAAGCCATCATAATGATGGTAAGAATTATCTACTCCAGGAACAGAATCCTGGATCTGCTACTTTTTGGTTTTGGAAATTGGGAACTATTCTGCATCGTTTTCACCATCTGGAATAAGCATCAAAAATTGGTTTTGCCAGATAGTCTTGTGAAGATTAAATATAAATTTAAAAGTTTTACTTATTTTTGTTTGAAAATCGGGTTTACAGAGAGGAGAGACAGAGAGAAAGATCTTTCATCCACTGATTCACTCTCTAAATGACCATAACAGCTAGAGCTGAGTCCATCCACAGCCAGGAGCCAGGAACTCCTTCTGGGTCTCCCACATGGCTACAAGGTCCCAAGGCTTCGGGCTATTCTCAACTGCTTTCCTAGACCATAAGTAAAAAGCTAGATTTTTGGAAGTGGAGCAGCTGGGATATGAATTGATGATACCCATTCTAGTATGGCAGCACTTGCAAGGCACGGATCTAGCCACTGAACCATCTCACCAGGGCCAAAGATTACATATTTAATACACATAAACCTACAGATCCATAAGGGCACATGTTCAACAATTAGTAAACCTGTGTTGTAACACCTATTTGAATGCCCTTCTCACTCCCACAACACACTGCAAGGGAGCCACAACTCGATGTGGGATTTACCACCACTTTCTGGAAGTTTGAAGCATATGCTGAGCTCCTCGTTCTCCTGTAGTTGGTGAGCCCTTCTTGAATGCTATCACTGCCTTCCTTGCTCTTCGGGACTCTAGGGTTTGTTTTGTTGGTGTCTTGTAGCTGGCCAGCTGGCTGGAAACTCCTCTGTGGAGATGTATCGCCAAGTGCTGCTGTCAGGCTGTCGCTGTGTGGAGCTGGACTGCTGGAAGGGACGGACGGCAGAAGAGGAGCCTGTCATCACTCACGGGTTCACCATGACAACTGAAATCTCCTTCAAGGTAGAGTGCACGGATGCTCCTGGGGAAGATCTTAGGTTCATGTAATTGGAATGAAGTTCAGAGGCAGTTACTCATCTTGGCAGTTAGACACCACAATTCATCATAGTATCAATGGGTACTTGCCATTATACGAATTACTTCATACTAACCAAATTCTATGGAAAATGTCTTACCAAAACAATGTATATCACCTTGTTTATCTTGTCTTGTTTAGCGTTCTTATTGTCTTACACTTATTATTGCAATCGAAAATACATAATGTAACATGCAAACTATTTGTATGCTTTAGCTAATGAATATAAAGTGTACACCAATTAACTGTACCGCCTAACTCCAGTCACAGAAGCGCACTGGTGCCCAGAAGCACCTGTTTCCATCAGAATGACCAATTGCTGTCTCCAGAGGTGACCAGCATCCTACTGTAGTAACTTTCCCTGCTATTCCGAGCCGTGCAAGTACAGCTTTAAACAGTGCGGCTGCATTACTTCTTTCACTTGCTATAAATGAACTCAGCCCATACAATGTATTACCTTATCTTGCTCCTCTGACTTCATGTTGTTGATGATATTACCCACTGCTGTTTAATTATTATGTAAAATTCTATTCTGTTATGCCAGCTTTGGGCATACTGATTGATACCTGTTACTCTAAGATCCCTGTGAACACATCTGTAATAGGAGTGGGAATTCCGTCCTCCTAGGATACAGGAGTATTTCAGTCAGTTCATTAAAAGGACTTGTAAATTCATCAATCCTTCTCATTAGCTAGGAATGGAATGTGTTTAGTCTTTCTACACTTTACAATCTTGAGACTATACCACAAAGTTCTCATATATAATGTATATGGACAGCAAAGCTTGAATTTTCCAACTTATGTCTGTATCTGCTGCATAGAGTCATCCCAGGGAATTGGAGTCATCAGGTGGGGAGAGTGGGGGTCTCAGATACTTGCAGAGTCATCTGGAAGGGGGCATGAGTGGACTTCTCACCTCTTCGGAAGCGGTGAGCTAGGACTCATTCCAGGAACCCTGTAACCTAGATTAACTGAGTCTCAGAGCGGAACTGGCTCTGGGTCATGAACTCTTGTCCTAAGTAAACCAAAGAAACAGAGCTCAATTATCTGTGCAGCTAAAGTTACAATGGAAAGAGTTCTGAGAAGCCAGAACACCAGATGTGTCCATGTTAACATCAACAAGATGGGTAGCAAAGCTTTAAATACAGAAGGCACTAAGACTCTTGCCAATTTTTTTTTTTTTTTTTTGCTGAGTTGAGGAAAGCTCAGTAGATGACTGAAACGAATGGATAAAAACTGGTTTGGTAGTTTCAGAAGATTGATGTATTTCAAAAGTAGCTTGGGGAGCAAAATTATCCCAAACCCCAGCATTTTGCCCTGGAGCTCTTGAGATGTGAGAGAATAAATGGCTGTCGCTTGAGAGAGCAGTAAAAGTGAATCAAGATTTTGAAGAGACAGCCAAGTTTCAGGTTAGACAAATGGGGTTTCCTGATAAAAGCTACTATACACAACAAAAAGGAGAATATGTTCAGAAATGACGTCACTCGCACTGTCAGATATGTTTTCTGCATTGCATCCAGGAGATTGATTGGACTTCATGATTTCTTTTCAAAAAAAAAAATATTTTATTGGAATGGCATATTTATAGAGAGAAGGAGAGACTGAGAGAAAGATCTTCCACCTACTGGTTCACTCCCCAAATAGCCACAACAGCCAGAGCTGTGCTGATCCAAAGACAGGAGCCAGACGCTGCTACTGAGTTTTCCATGCAGGTGCAGGGTCCCAAGGCTTTGAGCCATGCTTTGTTCTTTCCCAGGCAAGCCATAGCAAAGGGGCTGGTGGGTAAGCAGAGCAGCCGGGACACCAGCTGGCGTCCGTGTGGGACCCCGTGCTTGCAATAGGAGAATCAGTCAATTGGGCCATCATTCCGGGCCTGACTTTGTGGTTTCTTAAACGTAGGCTATGATACAATTATTATTGAGAAAAATGGCATCCCTTACTACTTTTTATAAGATTTTAAAAGTGCTGGACTTAATTCTGACCAATTTCTTTATATATCTGCTTCTAAAATGGACTATTCTGAAGGTTGACATTTTCTTAAATAGAAAATCAATGATTTTCCTGTTTTAGTTTGGGTTTGTATGCCTCATTTGCATAGCCCCCCTCCACCTCTGCCACCAGCTTCCACTGGTATCCTTCTCTTACATAAGATTCCAGCCTATCATAATTGAGTTCTTTAAGACTAGGTGGGGACTGGTGAGCCTGGCGTGGGGTCTGTGCAGCTTGGTCTCCTCTCTGCTCATAGGTGGAGATGGTCATAGAGAAGCATCCTTCTTTCTCAAGCCGAGATAGGAAGGGCCTTGCCCTAGGCTCACCACCAAGAGGACCTGCCCCACACCTCCAGGCCCCCACTCAGAGTCCTCAGAGCCAGGAGCAATTCCATTTTCTTCACATCTGAACATCCCCTGGAGTTCCTCGGGGGAGAATAAACAAGCAGCATGTTGGAAGGCATGTTTATTTTCTTCTTGGACTCTGCCATGGAGTCTGTGTGGAGTGATTCTCCTCGTGTACTTGACTGTACAAGTGGCTCTTCAAGTCACATCTGTTAGCTCAGAATCACTGACTGGCTCATTGAACAGCTCAGAATCCAGAAACCCAGCTTCTCAACCACACACGTGCTTGCTCTTGCAGATGCGTTTAGAGGCTTAAGCCTAAATCTAACTCAGGTTGATGCTTCCCTTCTGTGCCTGCTGGATGCCAGGTGGAGAGGGGAGGAGGGTGGGCACAGAGAGAGCCAGCTGCTCATGCCCCTGAGTAGGATTTGTGGGTTGGGTGGTAGTGTGCAGGAATGGGTGTGTGCAGTAGAAATGCCAGCCTGCGTTGGAGCAGTTGTACAGTGAGAGGGCCTCTCTGCCCTGGGACCTGGCCTTCCATGAGATGGGTAAGACGTAAGTCAGGGGACAGCTTCCCGGCCTCATCTAGTCCTAATCATCTCCCAAAGCTTCCACCACCTTATGCTACCTGCATAAGAACTCGGAGACTGTTTCTTCTTACATGTACACTTTTTAAAAAAATTTTTAAAGCTTTCAAATAACACGTATACATGTATGTTCTATGGGGTACCATGATTTGTTTATCAGATTCTCTGTTGATGGTGTGTATTTTTTAAAAATATGTTAATTTATTTTGAAAGAGAGAGGAGAAGAGACCTCCCCAAATGGTTTACTCTCCAAATGATTCACCCAGACTGAACTCACATCACACTGAGGTTACAGGAACATCCCTGTAAGCACTTGGGTCATCTTTCACTGCTTTTCCCCAGGCTGTTAGCAGGGAACTGGATTGGAAATGGAACAGCAGGAACCTGAACCCTTGTGCCATGCTGGCATACAAGGCAGCAGCCTTAGCAGCTGTGCCTCCATGCTGTACCCCTGTTGTGTCTGTTTCTATTAGCATGGAAGCTTCACAAGAAAATGGACTCTCTGTTTGGTTCCCTGCTCCTCCCATCCATTTCAGTAAAATCTGCCTACAGGAGCTGTTCAAATTTTTTTTTTCTTTTTCCTTTGAAGAAATAACTTTTAGACCAAGATGAAACAAGGGAAAAATGATTTCTGAGTTTTCCCATCTCAAAGCGAGTAGACAGAATAAACATAGCAGTGCCTTTAAGTCCTAGCCTGTTTCATTCTGCTGTTACTGAGTACTAAGAGCTGGGTAATTTATGGGGAACGAGCTTTTTGGTTTTTTGACTCACAGTTCTATAAAGGTGGTGAAGTTCTAAATCGGATGGTGCATCTGACAAGGTCCTTCCGGTTCACGGTGATCCCACTGGGCTGCAGTATATTACCTGGTACCACATGTTGGAAGACTGAATCACTTATTCTGAACTTCTTAGAGAGCCACAGTTGCATTGGATTAGGGCTTCCCTTTTAGGGTCTGTCTTAACTGAGTCATACTCAAAGGTACCACCTTGAAACGCCTTAAACAAATACCTTCCAAGAACTGAAAGGGGTGATTAGCTTCCAATTGAGTTTCAAGGGAATATTCAAACCACAGCACTTCACTGTCAATGATTTAGATCTTTGCTCCTAAGTGAATTTTGCCTCTCTGTTTTGCATGTGAGATTCCATGCACTTGTTTTGGTAGGCACTGAGAAGATTCTCGGAGAGTGGGTCAGTTTGGGCTGACCCTTCCAAGTGGGCCTGATTTTGACAGTGTTGGTCTGCACTCTATAGCAACAACTTAGAGTACATGACAGTAGCACATTAAATTGGTTTGAAAGTTCATCCTTTTCCTACCATGCAGTTTATCTGCTTTCAGTGAATATGGTCCAGAAAACACTGCCTTATATCCTCCCAAACCAAGCATTCCTGTCGACATTTGCCACCTTATTTACTAGCTGGGTCAGCCAAGTTTCACGTTAGACAAATAAAAGGTTATATTCCGGGAAAGAGGACATGCTGTAATTCAGTCTCCTTATGGAGGGCTTTCTTTGTTACAGTCTGGCTTGATTTGTTATCAATCCCACGCATCTGCTCTCGTGTTTCTGTGCCACATTCCTTAGCTGTTCTGATGGCCGCACTATAGCAATTGGCCATTTGTTCTTCATTTGCCAGGGCCCCCCAGCATCCCCTTGGTTTCCACATCGTACCCTCACCCCTCCGGGGTAGTTGCCTTTTAAATTGCAATATATACAATGGAGAACTGGGTAATACAACAAAATACATGATGCGAGTGTGTTAAATGCGAACATGATGTTAAACCAAGCATTTCTGAAACTAAGACTCCATTCTCCAGTGCCTGAGAGAAATAATAATAATTTTAGATGTAATTTTACTGCTGCATTAGGACACACATAAAATGGATCTCCAAATATACCCTGCTGGTTTTTTTGTTTTTTTTGTCAAGAGTGAAGGATTTCAAGGGCAATTTTTCCTACTGGAGGTTAGTAATTGAACTCTCTGATTGATAGAATATTGAATACAGGAATA